AATACATATCATGATGCATGAATATTTTTGTGCGACGTACATAAAAAAAAAATTATAAAAATATACTTAATTTTCAACAAATATAAATTTTAAACGTTAAAAAAGTTAAAAGAAATAATTCTTCACTATTATTAGTTTTTTTTTAACACTGCGTAATTACCATCACGTGTGATGATTATTAGCGCTATTTATACATCATATTTTGATATATCTAATAATTAATGAGCAAACAAAATACCTGCCAAGACATTTAAATCATTTATAATAAAAATAAATTACTATAAGAGTAATATTTATTTTATACTATTATATTTCTTATATTTCGTAAAATGCATGTATATAAAATCGTTGCAATTTCAAAACTCTTACTCAGCATCTTTGTTCTTCACATATTTATACCTTGGCATTTGCACCTTTTTTCTAAGAGTAAAATCAAGATCATGAACCGAGAACATATCCGCGCCATTTGAACCATCATCGCTATTTGCGATATTTTTTAAAAATAATTGTTAATGATTTATGCGCTGATGCGCGCCATATAAGATGCATACAATAGCAAACCGGATCTTACCTAACATTTACTGTCAATTATTATATAATATCATCTATACAGGCTGCGTTCCGATATTACTGCCAGTATTGAAAATCTATAGTGTACATAAACTACACGTTTTCAGTAGTAACAATAATATCGGAACGCAGCCATAGTAAGATTAAAGAACAAAGCAGATTATTCTTGCTTTTATACATGATTAATTGTTTCTCGAGGTAAATTCTTTGATTGCATTATATATTTAATATAAGTAAAAAATTTTTATTATTTGCCTTTTCTTTAATCGTCCCATGTAAAAAAAAACCATTCTTAGATATTTTATTTTTGTCAAAAATGTAGTTGATAGCGAGCGGAGCGGATGCGCGAGCGTGGAGTTCCGTATGAGCGAGATAAAACTGCAAAAGAGAATGAAAGTCACGTTTTAGCTTATACAGACGATTACTTTATATACAGAATTTACAGAATATTCACACAGTCTTGTTTAAGAAACGCCTGAGCCAGCGGAGGGCCGATAGGTCAGAATTCGCTTGTCTTTCGAGAAACTCGGCAGGCAACAGTTACGCATCTTCGCCCACACAGAGCTACATATCTAATCGATATCTACTGGATATCGACATATCCATATAATGTCCATATCTACTATGGATAATCAATTGATATCTATTAGATATCAAAAATATCTATATCTCCCGTATAACCAGCTGGGATATCTAGTGAATATCCACATATTATCCACACATCCATGTTAATTAAAAATTTATTTAAAAATATCCAGTAGATATCCATTAGATATCATATAATGTCCACATATTCACGTCCACTGAATATCTGACAAGAATATCTAGTGGATATCCACATATTCTCCACATATCCATGTCTACTAAAAATCTAACAAGGATATCTTGTGGATATCCGATTATTGTCCACATATCCACGTCCACTGAATATCTGACAAGAATAATATGTCATATGCGGGTCTCATAAGACCTAACTTTTAGAACATTAATTAATCATTTTGTGATCAAAATTTAACCAACATACAATGGATATCTACATAATATCCACTGGATATTGTATGGATGCTTAATGGATATCTTCATAAATATCTACTGCATATTGTATGGATACCTAGTGGATATTTTTGTAGATATTCACTGGATATTGTATAGATACCTAATGGATATTTATGTAGATATCCTATAGATATTTATGAGATCTCGAATGGCGGACATTTGGATATCCGTAGCATGTCTAATAGCTGTTTCTGTATATCCTGTGGATATCCCTGGTAGACATTGAAGATATCAAGCAGATATCTAATACATATCATTTTTCTGTGTGGGCGGATACCTGCGTTATCACGTTAGAAGGGATATCTATGCAGGATAACATAAATTCTTGCGGGCAAGCGAATTGTTACACAAAAAGTTCGTTCGATTTGAATAAACATTAATATTGTAATATGCGCAACAAACAGATTCTATCGTAGATCAGGAATCAGTGATTGAATTATAATTGTAAATAAATTTTTCATTTGAAAATTAATATTAGATTCTTATGCATTCATCTCTATATTTGGGCTTTCAAAATAGAGATTTTTCAGATCTTTACATAGAGAAAGCATGTCTTCTCTCGTCTTTCTCTTTATGAGAGAGATTTTTATTCCTCAAAAATTATTCATAGAACTTTCTTTAATCTCCTTTGCAAAAGAGATATTATATACATAGTTTTTATATACATTCAGTTTTTATATACATATTCAGTTTTTTATATACATATTCTTATAATGTTGCTAATTTGACGTTGTCTGATGTTATAGAGTTTACACAGTTTTAAAGTTGCCATGTATGTGTATGTGTGTGTATTATATGTGTGTATATTGCATTCTATAGCTGAATCAACTATCTTTATTTTTATTTTAATAAAAGATTAACTATACATTGAGTTGCACGCTTTATCTTGTAATATCTTACATTATACAAGATGAATCACTAAAGGTGTTACAGGCTAATATTTCTGAAACTGAACGAGAAATGAAATTCTTATCTTCCAGCGACTGTTTGGTATCGAAGCGGGCATTCGACGTAAAAATGATACTTTGCATTGCAATTAACATATGAAATTAACGATTTTAAAATAAGGATTTCATATCTCGCACAGTTTTAGAAATATTAGCTTCTAACATTTTTAGTGATTCACCGTATACATATATACACACATTATAACATAAAATAGATATTATATCGTAAAAGATATCATATCTATTCCTTTAACTAATATGGAATATAAATAGACATGAATTAGCCGTATGTATGACTTTTGCGCACACGATTTTTATATCTATATGTTTAGCAGTGCAACTATATATCTTCTGATACGATTAAATCATTAATATTCGTTTCGTGATATTTCGAAAAGTTTAAGATAATCGAATGTTTTTTTTTCTTTATAGCAAAAGTCAGAATTGAGTATGAAATAAGATGATGTTCTATCTGACCTATCGCTATTTTCGGTGAAAGATATGATTAAAATAATTAAATGCTAGTAAAATTCTAATTTATTTACCAATTTCTAAATTTTTACATATAATAAACAAAATTTTAGTGAGTCTGAAAAAATAGATCATTATTTTTACATTATCATAGAAATTAAGAAAAGTCGACAGACTTTAAGGTCATCTTACCCTCTTTTCTATACTTTCTATGCTTGGCACGTGTGTAATAAACAAAAGGCAGGTATGCAATTGTTCTCTCTTGAAAGAATTTTTTTTGTTTCAAAAATAATAACACTTCTTTGAAACTGGAAAGTCTCTCGCACAGGAATGTATTACCTGAAAGTCTCTTCGAGCTTCAAAGGAATTTTATTGTTTCCGAAAAAACGTTCTTTAAAAAAAAAAAATTACTTTCGAAAACGTTTACATTACACATATATATATTTTTTATTACAAAAGTTTAAATACTTTTAGAATTTTTAATGTATTACATGCAAACTTTAGAGATAAGCAATGTCGAAAAAAAATCAATGATCAAATATTGCAAAAATATAACGATTTTCCATTATACAATCAAAAGAGGATCGACCATCAATAAAATATATTTATCATTTTTCTGCTATTTTTAATCTTACTAATCAAATAATATACATCACAATCAAATAAGAAATTATGATTGCTTTTATACTTATACAAGATAAATATTCTTCGATTTTTTTATTAAATGATAAAAATGTTATACATTTAAAATATTTCTCACTACTTTATTATTACACGATTTTCGAATCCCCACTCTTATACCAAATTCTTATTAAATCCTTAAATTCAATTTATTCTCTTCCTCTTTTAATCGTCTTTTAATCGCTCGAATTTCAGATTTTGTATCAATGATAATGCGATAAGTGATCAGAAATATGACTTTCTTTTACTTTCTATTCTGATAATATTTTATTAGTAGAACGTTGTAATATCTATTAAAAATATATTATAAATCATCTGATTTCCAATACAGTATTCATTCAGGCTGAAATTTCTCATTCGATTGTTATAGGATAAAGGTAGCCTTGAAATCGATGGTGCTCGTATCATAATGCCATTTTGCTCCTAGTTTGAAAAACTAATATATTGCCAAAAAGACTGCGTAGCTATACAATTTCTTAACACATCAAGAGCCATATATGTTTCAAACTCAAAACTAGAATGAGCAACATATCTTAATATATAAATGTGTAACATATCTAGCGATACGGAAATATTTTTCTATGAAATGAAGCGAGTATCGTTGTCATCTATCGGTTGGCATATCAGGTTGTTATCTCTATCAATTACAATATATTCCACTAATTATATCGTAATTCATTAATAAAGAAAATATACTTTTGTTTAGTCATCTATCATACCTTTGTGTTGACCATTTACTTTAACCAATTTCAACTGGAAAATAGTTTCTAACTGTAAGAGGGATTCAATATTTGCCAAGCAGTTTCTTATTCGATTTCGTGAACAGTATCTACCAAAAAATTCAAAATCCGAATTCTTTAATATTCCTTTAAGACTGTATACATAGCAATAGAATTCATAAACTTTGTAGAAAAACTGAAATGGGTAATTTATTAAACCAACTGTTGATATGCGTTGACCGCAAATGAAAAAAATAAATAATTACAATAAATATTCTATCACATTTTAATAATAGCATAAATATAGAAGTTTTCGTATTATTTATTTAACAATTTCTAATATCTAGTATTTAACGATATTTTCGATTAAATATGTATATGCAAAATCATAAGAACATTTTTACTGATGTTATTGCGCACAGCAAATAGAACAAATTTGTTTGTCTAGCATTATTGCCTGGATTACGATAGAATACCTTTTTATTTTAGTATTTGTGACCGTAGCATACGGCTGCTATTCTGTAAATCCTCTATCTCTCTTTTACTATCTTAAAGGCACACAAGTGGAAGGGGAATATTGTATTCTTAGTTTCGTTTTCCTTTTGGACGTATTGTCACGTGACAACTAGTATAAGTAGTGAGAAAGCACAAGACCTTTAGGTTTTCAAAGAAGAATGGTAATTTCAGAATAAGAGGGGACAGAAAGTGTGGAAGACTTCTGTAGTGTACATAAAACACGCACTTGTGCTATCTGCAATTAATTATATGCGAATAGTTTGTTGCGAATATATCCTAAATTACATTATTCTTTGTGTTCTATTGAATTTTTTTCGTAATGGCTACGATAACGTGCTTACCTCAGGAGGTGATTACCATTATTCTCGGCTACAATGATATCAGCGTTGAGGATATTATTAACTTCAAATGTGTGTGCAAGCAATTCCGGTGGGCAGCCAAATATAACAAGTACATGGAAAAAAAGTTTTCTCAGAGGTAATTTTTTGTAATTTTATTTCAATAATCTGTCACACACAATGTATCGTTTCTGCAAAAAATATAAAATATAATATACAAAAATAAAATAAATAAAAAATATTAAATTAAATAATTTGTTATAGTTATGTAATAAGATTATAACGTAATTACAGCTTTGTTTATTGAATTTACTATTGTACGTTCTTATTTATTATTAGTGCAAAATTTAATTACAATTTAAAATTACAGATAATCTATTTTATATTTTCTACCTTAAAAAACAAATAGATTGATATTTTGATTGATACAATGAATATTATGCATTTTTTTAAATATATTACTGTAAATATTTATTATAGGTGCAATAGCACTATTATTAATCATACTTCATTAGTATACATTGTGAACTTATGTTAAAACGGTTGAGATTTCGATACTCGGGGCTCTCGTTCTTTTGTGTCTTTTACTTCCTCAACAATGGAAACACAGTCACATATACGTGCACTCTGTTGCCTTACAGCCGACATTGTAGAAAGACTTGCCATTTTTTCATTCGGAGATTTTGAGAACATCGCGACCATATCACGTTAGATTTCTATGTTTATAATTTGACTGAAGATAGTTCGAAACAGGAATTGACACGTTTTGTTAATTTGCAACTAAAGATGATATCCTTAAGGAATGTGATTACACTTTATTTACCGCGCTCTGGCTCTCACTTGCCCAGTTATTTATTTTATTATATTAATTATACTGTTTAGTGTAATTTTCAAAAATTTGTTAAAATATTTTTTGTACCAATTTCAGATGGCCTTCTGCGAAGAAACTTTACGACAAGCAGTGTAAGGAAAATGAGCACGAAAAATCTAAAGAGAATGAACAGAAGAATAAAACAAGCTCAAACTTTATGGAAACAGGCACAAATTGTACGAAAGAATTACGGAATTATGTGTCTCAAATACTTCATGAACATTACAATAACAATGAGATAATCGATAATTTAACAAAATTTCATCGCATATTTCATTTAGAACATTTACAAAATAATCTTAATAAAGTTTGTGAGCCTGAAAATTTCATAAAATATTCTTTCTTCATTGATGAGATTAAAAACTTGCTTATACAATCTCCACGGTAGGATTCTCAATACAAATTATAGTGCTATTACTTTTATAAACTAATATACTTTTTGCACAGATAATATGTAAATTTTTCAGAAGAACTGGTTGCGATCTAACCGAAAGATATTGCAATATAAAAATGTTTCACTATATGAGGCACTGTTTGGTGAGAAATAAGTTGTATAGATACACAAATCAATCTTACAAAAATCAGCTTTTGGAACGGATTGTTACTATGGCGGCACAATTACTTCAACCCGAAAAGGATGTCTTTTACTCGAGCATAAAGACATCACTAGATAGTATCGCATTAGAGGTACTGGATTACCTCAGAGAAAAACATCCCAACCATTCGATATTTTCGATGTCCGCTGAAATTTTTTCATATTGGGAAAACAATCATATCGATAATAATCAGTGGAACGAAGCAGGAGGGACGCAGATTATGGACATACTCGAGGAATATATACTTGGCAAATTTCAACTATGCAAATGGGGAATGTCTTCCAACACAAAGTTGGAATACTGGTGTATAGATAATGTAAGTTATTATAGATTATTATATATAATAACTTACTTAATTATGGCCAATTATATGCTGTAAGCATGACCATATATTTGTTACATCTTAAAAAAATATTCTCGCTCTAATTAATTTCTCCATTATAATTTCTGGCATAGGTCTTAAAAAATAGATATGGCCAAGAATTAATTTTATTAATAATATATCACAGCGTGGCCAGAAGACTTGGTCTACGTTGCGATGTAATACGTTTTGGTTTTCCTACTTCTCACTTCTTTATTGTTTGGAAACCAAACTTGTAAGTATAATATTAGAATTGGAATTATATCTGAACCATTCGGAATTTATACTCTTATTATACACACACACGCACACATATGTATATAACTTTTTATTGTTTACAGTGCCACGTATAGTTCAAGAAATACAAGATGTTTTAATATAAGTTCTAAGAAATTTTTGTCTTATTATCTTGTTGTCAGGGAACTGCTACACAGGATACATTCAAATATTGGAAACTTCGATGGATTATTAAGAGCTAGACGGGTTGGCAATTACTCATACATAATTTTTATTAAGTTTAAGACTAATAAACTTGTAATCTTGGCAAAGATACGAGTCAATGAAACACGCTTAATAAGCAGAAAGAATAATACAATATTTGATTTTTTTATTTGTAATCAGAGCTTTGTTCATACGTTTAATCTTTGCTCATGTTTAATCCTTATTTTCAGTTTTGGCAACAATTAGTATTATTAGCATTAGAAGATAGTAAACAATATAATAACGCTTTTACGCCGTATGGATTGATTCCAGTGATTGTATACGACAGTATAAATGTGGTATGTTAGCACTATATATATCATATATATTATGCGACGACTTTTCCTACCGTCTCGCGGCTGAGCGATAAACGCGGCCGCCGACTCGTTCTCTCCGTCGCGCGGGTGGAAATTGCGGCGACGGACAGGAGCTAATTCGCCGAACGGAGATGCGGAAGCTTTTTCGATCGGAGAGGGACTCGGCGGACGCGCGCGAGACGGCAACGTCACAATTAATATATGATGTAAAATAATTATAGAAAAAAATTTCTAAAGTTTCTCTGATAGCACATGCACAATCACATACAAATTATAATTATCTATAATTTAACTGCCTGTAATTTAACTTGCTACAAAAATCTATTTAGGAATTATTTGATAAGAAATATCAATTAAAGTCTGATCTTACACTTTTCAGTTCAGCCTTCGCGTTAAAAAAGCAGAGCTATATACAAGACCAGAAGACGTAAAATTTGCGGTTGGTATGATAGTGACACATCAACCTACAGATTGTGCCGGCGTAATAGTAGGATGGCACCGACATCTTGATAGACATCTTGTTACATTCTCCGCAAAGAGTGTGCCGGGTTCTGATATGCACATATATGAACTGCCGTTGAATCATAGTCGTAATTGTAATTTTATAGAGAAACAAACAAATTACATAATTCTTACGGAAAATAATAAAATGTATTATGTGGAAGAAGGTATGTATATCAGCAGACGCGTCTTTATTTAAAATTATATTTGTTTATTCTGCGAGCTTATCTCTTTTTTTGTACACAGAATAAAATAATATTTTATTTTATTTTGATTTATTTTGTTTCTTTTTTAAATTAATTATTTTATTTATTTTGGTTATTATTTTATTTATTATCTTATTTCATTTGTTATTTTGTTTATTTAGTTATCATAAATTTATTTTTTATTCGCATTTTTTTATTTTAGATGCTATAACTTTAACAACGCCGAGATGGATCGATAATAGTGAAATAGGTCGCTATTTTTATAAATTCGAGGGCACGCATTACGTACCAAATAAAATGCTGGCGAAACTTTACCCGCAGGACACCGCTATAACTGCACAGCACCATTGCAGCAACATTGCAACATTGCAGTAATATTGATGCATCTTCACGTACTAAATGTTTTTCTCTATTTCTTCTCGTATGTTTTCTTGTCCTTCCATTTTTATTCTTTAATGATATATTCGTAAGCCTTTCTTTTTAATTTTTTGTACAATTCGTATTTCTTAATTTTTTAACAACATTTTTTATTAACATTATTAAAAACTGTTGGTACATTGGGTTGACTCACAGACATAGCGATATTATTGAATTATTCTATATTCGCGTTATTGTTAGTAATGTAATAAAAATACATTGTATTAAACGTATGTGTCGACTGTTATATCTCACGGATTTATGTGTGTCAATTTTATTTTATTATGTGAACATTATCATCAATAATATCATATTAGTAAAAATATTGTGACTGACAATTTTAATCTTAACCAACTCTAAATAAAACACATGTATAACTATATTACATGCCTGTTTTAAATCTCCGATCATTTTTAATGTTTTTAATTATATTCAAAAATACTAAATATACATAAAAAATATACACAACAGATATATAGATGTATATTTTTAAATATATGTTTACGTAGATAAAATAATTTAGGAGACGATATATTTCATCGTAGCAACATTTATTGACGCAAGTACTCATTTAAGTGAGAAATCGAACGCGTACCCTTTCTAAAAAATGTTTTTAAAGAATATGATATTATTTTTGTAACATGTTTTGCAACCAACATAGAAAATAATTTGTCTATACACAGTCGAATATTTTTAAACTAAACTTCTTTATTCTCAAATAGTTCTTTATTCTCAAAAAGCATTTAACAATAAATATAAATTTTTTTTGGGCCGTTTTCTAAATATATATTTATATATTTACCACTTGATCATGTATGCATAAAATAAAATTATTGAAATGCATTTAAGCGTAAAATTTATATTGGGCTTGTATAATTTGTTTTAAAACGTGGGAAGATCAAATAAATGAATGAAAATTAAATAGGAAATTCAGAATAAAGAATTTGTTTAGTTTTACGAGATTAAAATGGCTCGAATGTAACAATATATAAAAAAAATATATATTATAAAAATTCATGCATATTTTCATGCTAATTTTAATTTTGCATTTTCTCTTATCAAATTAATACGTTCGCCAAATATTGAACGGTAGATTTATGAGTGCGTTGGTGAATAAAACGATATCGCTTAACATCGAAATAATTCTTTCTTTATGAGCATTTAGTTGATTATATTTCCTCGTAATTCTAAAAATTTGTCGGAATAAATATTTCGGCGCAACTATACACAAAAAAGATATCAAAATTAAATAAAGTTTAATTAAAATCAGCCAAGAAATAAGATACCTTTATATATCTTTCAACCTCGTTTTCTTTTTTAATTTATCCAATCACAGTTTAAAAACTATTCATGCCTCGATACTTATGTTCAGATAAAATCATTTCGGCTGCTGAGACAGAAAGTACTGCCAAGAAATGTAGCCTCCTGCTATCAAATAGCGTCACGTGAAAATGTATTTAGGCCAGTCTTAGTTATAGAATTAGCTGGAATCATTCTATTGCGGTGGCAGATAACTCCGATCGACGTTAGTTTTTACTGGCGTGATGCCTTCTGGTCTCGGAAGTCTGATGGGATGTCCCGTTTCTCCGGTCGCAGCAGCGCCTAGCCTGAATCCAGCCCGATATCCGTTCTCGTCAGCGGTGTAGCTAGCGAATGCAAAAATTGTCTTATATTATGCTTTCTTATTTTTTCCTTAGAGAAAATATATGCTTCTGCGTTTTTAATTAAGACATTATTAAAATTAGACGTAAGAATTATCTTATTTTTTAAATTAAAGAAGTTGCAAATTTCAAACAATAACAACAAAAATTTGAATAATTAATCGGCTTATATTCAAGTATCATTCTTAAATAATTTTCGACATTTATTGATCCAAATCCAAGTTCTTTTTTTTTTATATATATAAAATCTGATTTATATAAATAATAAAATAATTAAGCGCAACATGTCAATTGCGCTCAAAATTTTGGCTCTAAACTTGGAAAAACACTTACATCACAGGTAAAATATATAAAATATATTCTTACTGAACGGAAACGGGGATCCCTTCGGGACTCTTATAGGAGAAAGATCCCTCCACTACTCGGACCAATTCGCCATCCACAAGTTTGAAAGTGGCGATCTCCTTCCTCTCGACACCGTCCTCGCTAATGACATTGGTGGAAACCGGTGGACTCGCGGCGATCTTTTGCTCGCTTTCGAAGGGCGGTTTCAGGATCAAACCGCCGGAGCCGCGCGCAAATAGTGGCGCCTTTTGATCCGGGGACAGCTTGTCGGTAAAGCACACTGGGAATGACAGCAAACACCAAATCTATAAGAGAGAATTTAATTTCACTTTCATTTCATTTTAATTTCACATCAGTTATAAAATGTATAAATCTTAATTCTGCTTATTTTATAAATAACACTATATACATTCTCTCTCTTCATAATATTATACAGGGTGTCTACTCAAATTTTGTAAAAAAATTCCCTGATCTACCAGGGTATTTTTGTTCAAAAAAATTTCAAGTAAAGAAATTATTTTAAAGATCTTTAGGTGCAACTTTCTAAAGTAAGTTTATTTATTGTATGCATTTTTTAGTGCTTTTCATTCATGCAAAAGAAAAACATAGAGCCACTTAACGTTTCACGTGCTACATTTGCAAATATATCGAAAAAAAGTGAAGCTTTCGTAAAATAAATAGTTTTTACTTGCATAACATTTTTCTTTTTTACTAAAAATTACAACAAAAAATATATATTGTATATTCAAATTTTCTTAAGACATTGAATATATATAAACAGAGAGAGAAATAGATACATATTTATAATATATTTTAAACACATAATTCACAATTTGGCTTATCGGCGGATGGCTGACTGTTTGCAACATAAGAACAAAATTATTAAAGAGAAAATTTTTTTTTAAATTCCCCGAGAATTTCCTAATAAAGTTCCATGAGAATTCCCTGATCTTTTCCAGGACAAAAGAAATTCCTGCGAATTCTGGGTTTTCCATGTTTTTTCAGGGAATAGATATACTCCGTTGTAATTATATAAATAAATAATAATTAAATAAACAATGAAAGAAGTGTGTTGTATTAATCCTGTGTAAAAAAAACAACAAATTGATAAATTTTTTTTCGTCTTCTAAAAACTTCTCGAGAAAATCGATTTCGGGAATCGACGAACTAATAGCATCTCTCTTCATCTTTGAACGGTTGGATAATTAATTTCCCGATTTCCAATCAAATTCCATGAGAATTCCCTGATCTTTTCCAGGTACGAAAGAAATCCCTGCGATTTCCAGGTTTTCCATGTTTTTCCAGAGAGTAGATACCCCGTTGTAATTATATTAATAAATAGTAATTAAATGAACAATCAGAAGAGAAGTGCGTTGCATTAATCATATGAAAAAATTAAGTTTTTGAATTGTAGGATTAATTTTTTTTTTTGTCTTAAAAACTACTCGAGAAAATCGATTTCGGGAATCGACAAGCTAATAGCATCTTTCCTCGTCTTTGAACGGTTGGATAATTAATGAACTACATCTATCTACGAACGACCAAAGAGGGAAATGCCGAGGATGACCCCGCGACCGATGCGGCGCGTCGCGTTGGATAATCAGCAATCGCTGTTCGTCGCGCCCGGTGATGATGATGGTGGTGGATCCCTCTGAAAAAGGACACTTTCTACTTAATCGATGACCGGCCATCGGCCGGGCCTGCGTTTTGAACGCTCCGGGGCCCGATAACCGGCCGCGCGATTATGAAGACGCAATCGCGGGGCCCCGCGTCTGCATCTAAAAGGAACGGTGCTGGGAATCGCGCATCGTTTCGACGAAGATGAACTCTCAACCCCTGCCACACTGTATATTATAAGAGACAACCGATACTTAACGGCGGTGTCTTTTATCTGAGAAAGATGTAACTGGTTCCCAAAGGGATTGAGCGCTTGAGTTATTAATCTAACGGCTGTTATTAATCAGTTCTCCGAGCATGAAAATATAAATATGAAAGGGAAATTTAATGCAAAGGTTAATAGCGGAAAGAATGTTGCTTATATTGCGTCATTGAAGATTTGTAGAAATAGTTACAACATTACCTGTCGGATTAAACAGCAATTAACACGATATTAGAAGAGAGAAAAGAGAACACATTTACAAATTAACGTATGAAAATAATTTATGTAAATATTAAACTAGCATGCGCATTGTTAATTTATATGCTCAGAAGAAGATTAATGAAACTCTAACAGGATATCTGTCCAAAGCTTGTAAAAAAATTTCCTGAGAATTTCCTGATTTTTCAAGTAATTTATTCAAAATTCCAGGTAAAATTAGACTTTTACATTGAACTTTTTAAAATAAGTTTCTTTTTGTATGCGTTTTCTAATGCTTTTCACTCATACAAAGAAAAAATAAATCATTTAAATTTTTAATATTAAATTTAAAAATGTACTGAAAAGAACTGAATGACTTTTAGCTAGATAGATAAGTATTTTTCATTTGCATAATATTTTCATTTTTTTATCATTAATTATAAGAATTATAATAAAAAATGTGTCCTCAGTATTTTTGCTATGACAATGAACATATAATCAAAGAGAGAAAGATATATATTCAGTTTAAATAAAATTCCATGAGAATTTCCTGATTTTTCAAGGCAAAAAACGAAATCCCTGAGAATTCCAGGTTTTCTAGGTTTTTCCAGGAATGAATAGACACTCTGTCTAAATTAAATATATAAAAAGATTAATAAAATATTCATTAAATAATTAAAGAGATTAATAAAGTTCTAACGCTTCGATGCATTTTGAAAGTTAAAATAAGCCTAAAACATCTATCGCGCGACTTTAGAGAGACATCGATTTATCAAGACTTCTCTATTTTTTTCACACTATCATACTTATTAGGATTATACGGCGCACGTTATGTGATGCAAACGATTCAGTTAGTGCGGTCGTGTATTTTCCCACAAAGATGCAAATGCAGCGCGAGTTGCCAACGCAACGAGGTTGCGCGGCTAACGCGAAATTTATGAGCAATTCGCGCCGTTCGTGTAATCGGCTGCGAATGGCATGCGACATCCACGGGAATTCTGGTAGCGGACCGTGTTCCCCGGTAAAAACTTCGTCTAGATGTAATTTACAACGACGCGCGCGCATCGCGACACGTTCTCTTATCTTTCTCGCTGGTACGCAGTACCGGATTTTACTGTGAATGTGGATCTCATATCCCACTTTTTCCACAAAAACATAATAAAAAGTTACAATATTAAAATGTATTAAATCCAAAAAAATTTTTTTTTATTTGAAAAAATAATTTATTTAAATACTTGCAAAGAAATTCGTTATTTCAATCAAACAGCAAATATATATTATATTAGTAAAATATATAAATAAAAAAAAATAAAAGCAAAATATGCTTTTATTTGTAAATTAAAAAAATTTGATTTTTTATCTTTATTATACTGTTATTTCTTT